TTTCTAGTGGTATAAAAGTTGTTGGGTGAAAAAACTTGTGGCTTTCTGAAAATGAGGTGGAGATATCCAATACTAAGATACTAACTTGCTCCACCCCGCTCCGGCTTTCTATGGGTCGCCGGAGCAAGACTTCTTGGATTGGGAAAGCTTTGTACACCAACACTTTATATACCGTTCGATAGCTAAGAACACGAGGAATTGAGGTAGGCTGTCTCTTTTTTCATAGCTTTTCTGTGAAGCAAGATATGAGCAGTTTTATCTAGCTACAGTATCAGTCAATTCTGAGTAATTATCTTTTCGAACCAAGGTCTTTTTCAAACTTTTATATATGATTCGAAAGCTTGAAAAACGAGTAATCCACCTGCTTTTTATTTGTTATTATTCTCTCTAGTGAAAGGGATATGGTACAATTATTGTCAACAAACATGCATCCATCACTAACTAGTCCATATTTTCTACTCTTGCTTAACTCTTTTTTGAGACAATGTTATTCATTGATACAATGTTAATCAATCAAAGAATCACACATCCGTTTGATTTTTGATTGTTTCGGCGACGCCACTTTGAGTGCGCAGAAGGTCTCGAGCATGCGTTTTTTTCAACAACACGCTGTTGATTAGATAATATCTTGCAGTTTTGATGTCTGAGAAGAATAGCAGCTGGCATTTCCTTTCTAAACAAAAAGTGTCATTGTAACAGCTGTTTCATTCTACCGTTATGCCTTGATTTTAGTCTCAACCTCAGTTGAAAGGGGTCAGCTAGATGCCGCCCCTAAAGTGAAGGGGTCAGAGAAACTTCTCCACCTGTCGTATCTATGCTTCAAAGCATTTAAATCTCCGTCTTTTATGGTTGCTACTGCTAGACCTTCTTCTCCACATAGCAGGAATTTCACTCAAAACCTTTCCTTCTAGGGAAAGATATAGTCATTTTTCCTTAGCTAAGCAAATGGAAAATACCGCGAAAATATTGGATTATGGTAATGTGCTATGTCTGCGCTACTAGGTGAACCGGAGGAAAGGCGGCAAGGACAAGTATATTTGATAGCCTTGATTCGTAATTTTCACAAAAGCACAAAGATTTGATTGATGAGCCTGATTGGTATTTTCTAATCTGAGAAATTGAAATTGAGAGATAAGGCAAACAAGATTTTGGGTTGCTCTTGATTCTAGAGTTTGGAGGCTAGTTGAAATGGGATTCCTAATGTGAGTAAAAGTCGTAATCAGGGTCAAGCAAGGGGTGTGGCACGCGATCGCTGGTTACGACCTCCCCCCCCCTCTGATTGCTGTCTTAATAAGACCCCCCCCCCCGGACTATACACTTAAGATAGCATTACTTAAAGGCCCTGTCAAACAGAATGGGCAACATATCCATAATTAGCATGTCAAATAACGCCTGTAGACAAAGTGTGAGCGAATTCTGAAGATTCAAGATACTAGGCTACCTCAGTGAAATATTCATTTTCCAACATGATTAACTTTGTTTCAAAGGTGAATTAGCTATCCGTTTTTGCACTCAAGACAAAGCACTACTCCTTCTTTGTCCACCTCAGAAATCATGCTTCAGAAGACCTCCAAACTGTGGAATTAGAAGCCAACCAAAATCTCAATTTTCCCATTTTTCGCTTTTAATGGCTGCGCTTTCACCAAACATTACTCAGAGCTAAGAAGACGAATCAGGCTCCAAACAGTTCTATGGAATCTACAAGGTTTAGGCTATCGATTCATATAAATATTGTCCTCTAAAATTGTTTATTTGATATAGTTAATGGGGTGCGGCACCCCCCCCCCCCCCTCAAAAGTTGCGGCTGCCGCAGCTTTTAAGGGGCTGTGTCATAAAAACATTTTTAGCAAACCATATTTATATGATCGATAGCCTAAATATCCTAGTTTTTACAGGAGTGATTTGAGTCTGATTCGTTTTCTTAGCTCTGAATAATATTTGGTGAAAGCACAGCCATTAAAAGCGAAAAATGGGAAAAATGAGATTTTGGTTGGCTTCTAATTCCACAGTTTGGAGGTCTTCTGAAGCGGGATTCCTGAGGTGGACAAAGAAGGAGTAGTGCTTTGTCTTGAGTGCAAAAACGGATAGCTAATTCACCTTTGAAACAAAGTTAATCATGTTGAAAAATGACTATTTCACTTAGGTAGCCTAGTATCTTGAATCTTCAGAATTCGCTCACACTTTGTCTACAGGGGTTATTTGACATGCTAATTATGGATAGGATACGAATATAATGTTATCACTATTATCAGATTACCCAACTACGACCCCCTCCCTTTTTGACTCCTCAATACGACCCCCCAGGTGTGGCGTGCCGCACCCCATGCTTGACCCTGGTCGTAATACCCTTCGTAATGAGTGCAAAAGTACGTAGTTTACTCACATTTGAAACAAAGTTAAGATGTTGAACAAAATCCGACTGTTAATTAACCTTGGCATTATAATATGCGATTAGTTTTTGAATTCTTTAAGCTTACCAAGGTGGTATAGAACTTGATAAAATGGCGCTGACGCGCTTCGGCGATGTATCGCCTTCTTCAGAGCGCTATAAGGAAAGTTAAACCGCGACAATTAAAGACTCACGGCGGTCGCCACTGTCCACTATCCTGAGATAGCGGAACCGAATAAACTGACGTGATCCTCCTCCGTTGTCTATTTATAGTCCCCAAGACGCTGATAAGCTGTAAGATCACTTATCATGGCTATACTGTCATCCTTTCTATTCATTTGAGGAGAACGGGCGGAGATGTAGGAAGCTTTAAGGGTTTTTACGCGCTAGAATTTTAGATTCTTGCACTAAAATTGATGCGGCAACTTCTATGGTGGTGTTTTGATGACATTCTATACGATGAGCCCCTAGTGGAGTTGGTGATTTTTGGACTTTTGTAGTCATCCAGATGTTCCTTTGACGCAAGAAATTAGTGGACGTCCTGTTTCTAGTACTCTGCGTTGATACCACTGCTT